TCTGGGGGAAGAGGGGCATCATTTGGTTGGGATTTGAAAAAATACACTTTTTAGATAAGTAGATCTGACCAACAATTAAAATCATGTTCACTTTGTGGTTTTGTGCCCATTTGAGTGTTTTTGAGTTTCTTCTGGATACCCATTGAGGTAGGCCTGTGTGTTTAAGGGCTTCCCCACCAGTGAGCTTGTTTGATTTTCTTGCATTTGTACCATTGAAATAAGCATTGAAATCTCACTTCCTCTTAAATATGTTTTTCTGCAGATGAAATGCTACTCATGGGTATTTTCAGTAGTTGCCAAGGCCACCTGGGAACCTGTGGGATTTTTGCAGCCTATTACAGGTTACAAACACATCTTCTTGGAGACAGAAGATTTCTCTGGGGAACCCAGCTGTCTAAACTCAATACCATATTAAGGTCTATATACTATAATAATGTCCAAGGTACTTGACTTCTTCAAAATTATACATTATGTAATCGGAGAATGCTATCACACCGATCTCAACCTACCTTGAGAACAGCTGAAAATACTTGTAGGAATGAGCCTCGACTCATACAATTTTGTAATACTTAGGAATGGTCTTTCCTCTTGTATTTGCTATGTAGGCCTGTGCTATACAGAAAAATCTAACATAACCATTCTCAACCAGGGTTCCTTCAGAAGTTGCAAGGGGTTCCTTAAATTGTTGTTGATTATCCTCCCATCTGACAGTGCCTGTATAATGCTGGGGTCAATGCCATTTGTCAGAGCCAGCTACATGACACCAATTATCTTTTTTTAAATATTAGAATTTTTATTGAGTGTTATAAGAGAAAGTTACAAACAAAAGACATTAGTTAAACACAGGAGATGTCACAAAAGAAATAAGCGCCCAGATTCAGTTCAGGGGGGATTGATTACAGAGCTTTTATAGAGTAAGCATAATGCAAAAGCTGAGGATATTAGGCTAAGTCAAGGTAAGAACCCAAACAATCCTGAAGGACAATTGAGACCTTCTGCAATGTAACTTCTATAATGTGAGAGTAAAGATTACAAGTGGTACTGATGAGGGTCAAACAAAGAAACAACTCATAGGGAATGAGACAGACCACTAGAAAAACCATTGTTGGACTACCAGATAGACAGAGTAGGCACTGGCCTATGGGCCCTATGCTGTTTAAGGGCCCTGCGGCAACAGGTGAAAATAATATTGATTTGATCTTGAAAGAAAATAACAATGAAGCTTCCTTAACCAAAGATAGAAAACAGAAATCAACTCAAAGAAATGAAAACTTTACATTAAAACTCCATAGAGTATAAAATACTGTATTAATGTAATGTATCCAATAACAACTTAAAGTATAAAAACCATACACAGCAAGTTCACATTACAGGTCGTCTCTTAAAAGCTGTCAGTTTGTAAAAAATGTTGATGCAACCTATACAAGTGTAATATACAGTACAGTCTCCACAAAGTTTATTCTAGCACTGAAAATAAAAATGAAAGAAAGAAGAGAAAATACAGCAGGAGAAAAGGGATAAGAGAAAAGGAAAAAATGGTGAGAGACAAGAGAGGGGGAAATAGGGAGAGGTGCTGGTGGTGCTATAAGAGGTGCATATTAAGAGAACAGAAAACAAGGGAGAAATCCTCAGGGCGTCAATTGAGCTTGGAGATGCATTATACACTATATTGCCAAAAGTATTGGGACACCCCTCCAAATCATTGGATTCAGGTGTTCCAATCACCTCCATGGCCATAGGTGTATAAAATCAAGCACCTAGGCATGCAGACTGCTTCTACAAACATTTGTGAAAGAATAGGTTGCTCTCAGGAGCTCAGTGAATTCAAGCTTGGTACCGTGATAGGTTGCCACCTGTGCAATAAATCCATCCGTGAAATTTCCTTGCTACTAAATACTCCACAGTCAACTGTTAGTGGGATTATAACAAAGTGGAGGCAACTGGGACCAACAGCAACTTCACATAGGCCAAGTAAAATGGCAGAGCAGGGTCAGCACATGCTGAAGTGTACAGTGCGTAGAAGTCACCCAACTGTCTGCAGAGTCAATAGCTAAAGACCTCCACACATCATGTGGCTTTCAAATCAGCACAACAATGTGTAGAGAGCTTCATGGAGTGGGTTTCCATGGCCGAGCAGCTGCATCCAAGCCTTACATCACCAAGTGCAATGCAAAGTGGCAGATGCAGTGGTGCACTGAACGCTAGATTTGTGAAGATGTGTTCTCTGGAGTTACCAATCACGCTTTTCTGTCTGCCACTCCCATGGATGTGTCTGGGTTTGGTGGTTGCCAGGAGAACAGTACTTGCCTGACTGCATTGTGCCAAGTGTAAAGTTTGGTGGAGGGGGGAATATGATGTGGGGTTGTTTTTCAGGGGTTGGGCTTGGCCCCTTAGTTCCAGTGAAGGGAACTCTTAAGGCGTCAGCATACCAAGACATTTTAGACAATTTCATGCTCCCAACTTTGTGGGAACAGTTTGGGGATGGCCCCTTCCAGTTCCAACATGACTGCGCACCAGTGCACAAAGCAAGGTCGATAAAGACATGGATGAGCGAGTTTTGGATGGAGGAACTTGACTGGCCTGCACAGAGTCCTGACCTCAACCCAATAGAACACCTTTGGGATGAATTAGAGTGGAGACTGCATGCCAGGCCTTCTCCTCTGACATCAGTTCCTGACCTCACAAATGCGCTTCTGGAAGAATGGTCAAACATTTCCATAGACACACTCCTAAACCTTGTGGACAGCCTTCCCAGAAGAGTTGAAGCTGTTATAGCTGCAAAGGGCGGGGCCAACTCAATATTGAACCCTACGGAATAAGACTGGGATGTCATTAAAGTTCATGTGCGTGTAAAGGCAGGCGTCCCAATACTTTTGGCAATATAGTGTATCTCGGAAGACAATAGGAGCCAAGTAACAGAGATCTATAATATGATTGCACCATGAGTTCCTCCATGTGCATCAGGGAATGAAGTCTATCTATCCATTCCTTCCTCAACAAGGAGTTGTTGACTTCCTGTGCCTGGGAATGATCACTGTCGCTGCGAGAAAAATAAAAACAAAGCAGGCTTTTCTTTATATTGGGTACTGAAAGTTATCTTTTTACTGGTCTATAAGATTGTCAGTTCTGATCACTACTGCAAGGGGACATCAATCCCACAAGCCACCAATGTAAGGCTCCTTTTTCCTACTGAATGACCCCCAGAGATTTAATTTTTGCAGGGGTTCCCTGAGAACTGAAAATAATTTCCTCTGGGGTAAAAAGGCGGAGAAAATCTGATCTTATACTGGCCATACACGGTTTGATAAAAAAAAATGATTGGATTTACACTTACCGGCCACTTTATTATGTACACCTCTTCAATTGCTTGGTAACACAAATTTCTGCCAATCACATGGCAGGAGCTAAATGCATTTAGGCATCTAGACATGGTAAAGATGACTTACTGAAGAATGGGGGAAAAAGGGGATTTAAGTGACTTTGAACATGGCATTGTTGTTGGTGCCAGATGAGCTGGTCTGAGTATTTAAAAAACTGCTGATCTACTAAGATTTTCACGCACAACCATCTCTAAGGTTTACAGAGAATAGTCTGAAAAAGAGAAAATATCCAGTGAGCAGCAGTTGTGTGGATGAAAATGCCTTGTTGATGTCAGAGATCACAAGAGAATGGACAGACTGGTTCAAGATGATAGAAAGCCAACAGTAACTCATGTCAATATGGGCCAAAATCTCTGAGGAATGTTTCCAATACCTTGTTGCATCTATGCCAAGAAGAATTAGGGCAGCTCTGAAGACAAAAGGGGTCCAACCCGGTACTACTAGCAAGGTGTACCTAATAAAGTGGCCAGTGAGTGTATAAAGATCTTTGCATGTGATAACGCCATCATTGTATCAATATTTGTTCCCCAATTTTTGACATATTATGGATAGATAATAACTTAAACGGTCCATTTTACATAGATTGATTACACTTACAGGGTTACATTCTTAACATGTGCACTTGCTGCCGATTTTTTTAACTGTTTTCAATTGATTCCACTACTGTTTAGAAAATATATCAATTAGGTTAAACAGTCCGACATGACGGTTCATTTTTTTTCCATTTCAATAATTGAAATTAGCCCACTAACGTTTCCAAAGTCAAATGATCAAGCGGATTGAGTGCTTTTTCGAACGATTTTCTAACCGTGTATGGCCAGCATAACCATTGGAAACCGAATAAAATCAGAACACGTGTTGTCGATTTTTTTAACTGTTTTCAATTGATTCCACTATTATTTAGAAAATATATCAGTTAGGCCAGGGCTTAAAATTTCGAGTCTAGACCTACTAGCCAGGCACAAACCTTACTCTCCACCAGTTGCCCCACTCAACCTTGCCCAGGTCTGCCTCCAACCCCACCCCTGTCCTGTTCCGTCCCCCAACCCCGCCCCAGCCCTGCCCCCAACTATGCCCCAGCCCTGCCCCCAACTACGCCCCCTTAAAGCTTATGAAATTACATTTTTCTTTAGAATAAAGAGTCCACAATATAAAAAACTGCAATTATAACACAGCTTTATTATCTCAATTTAAACATAACAGCAATAACTTAATAGCAATAGGGTGCCATCAAAATATCAAGGTTTACAGCTTTAAACCTGTAGTGAACATTTTGTATTTTTTTTGTTTATCTCCTGCGTCTTTAAAAAGAGACTTTTTAATATGACGATATGATTTTTGTTAGTGAGCACATATTTTCAGTTATTATTGCAGTTTTTCCTTAAACTGATTTTTGTATAATACTTTTATATTTTTATTATTCATTTATTAAAGTCCAGTTGTATTTTAGCAGAAAATTATACAAAGAAAATCAATGCGTTTTGGAACAGTAAAAACAAGTGTCTTACAGTTTATTTTGTAGCTCTATGCTCAGAGCAGGGGCGGACTGACCATTTGGAAATGCGGGCACTGCCCGAGGGCCTGGGGTCAGTAGGGGGCCCCATGAGATGCCCCTGGTACCTTTTTCATAGGCTTTTTTGAGTTTGGGCAAGGACACAGGGGCCCCATGATCCCCTATTGCCCGGGGGCCCCATGAGTTGTCAGTCCGCCCCTGGCTCAGAGGTATACTGCAGTATACTAAGGCCACTGAGCTCTGTGTGAGTGTAGTGCAGTGGTTTCTCTACAGTGATCCCCCGAGGCGGGGGAGAGCAGGCCTCTCCTCGTGTCCCCCGAGGCGGGGGAGAGCGGACCTCTCCTCGAGTCCCCTGAGGCGGTGAAGAGGGTGTCTCCTCTCAGCGGAGGAGAGCGGACCTCTCCTGCACCTGTCCCCTCAGTGTCGCTGCCAGTGTAATGGCGGTGCCAAAGAAGCCGGAAACCGGAAGTTGAAACCGAAACTCGGCTTCACAATGAGGCTTGGAGCACAGGTGCAGCCGCTCCATCCATCACCTGTGCTCACCGCTCGCCACACAAGAATTTCTCCTCGCATTTGGCGAGCGGACGAGCGGCTTTTTCAAGCCCTGAATTAGGCTAAAATAATCCGACATGACGGTTTATTTTTTTCCATTTTGATCATTGAAATTAGCCCACTAACGTTTCCAAAGTCAAATGATCAATCGGATTGAATGCTTTTTCTAACGATTTTCTTACGATGTATGTCCAGCATAACCATTGGAAACTGATTAAAATCAGAACATGTGCTGTTGATTTTTTTAACTGTTTTCAATTGATTCCACTATTGTTTGAAAATATATCAATTAGGCTAAAAAATCCGACATGATGGTTCATTTTTTTGCATTTCGATCATTGAAATTAGCCCACTAACGTTTCCAAAGTCAAATGATCAAGTGGATTGAGCGCTTTTTCAAACGATTTTCTAACCGTGTATGGCCAGCATAACCATTGGAAACCGAATAAAACAGCAAAAAAAAAAATCGTAGGCAGTTTTACGTTTGCTGACATCTAATTAGTATCCATATGTCAATCCCTCTCTTGTTTTCAGGTGTAACTGGTTCTTTGTAAATTTTCCCTTTACTAGCAGTAAATAGCAGTTGGGTGGGGGAAGCTCTGTTTACTCTGTCCTTATCATTTGTTTACAGACACGCCTAAGTCTGTTTAGTGATCTGACCCTTTGTCTTCAGAGGTGTCTTTGTATGCAAAGTGAAATGCTCAGTGATGTAAATGTGTGAACATTGGATGTGATGGCAGCTCCCAGAAGTATGATGTGCTGATGCTCCCTGTCTGTGTACACAATATCTGCATAGCACCTGCAATGAGCATCCTCTTGGACCAGTTCTGGATCCTGCATCCAGCACATGCCAAGTGTGGTCCTCCAGGGGGAAGCAATGGTTAAATCTCCCCTTGGCAGTAGCCAATAGGGGATGGGATGAGTGTTGGGAGAGGGCGTTCCAGGAAAAGACACACACACTAGGTGACAGCAGCTGCCTCCACCCACTCCTCTGTATCACAGCAATGAAGAGGGAAAGCCTGTGATCATGGCAGAAGAAGACTAAGGCTGCCAGATCTACACACTTCTGGATTGCAGGACATTGCGGCCAAGCCATCAGGACTGATCTCTATGATGATGATCTGCCTGCAGCCAGCTGCCTCTTGATGCCCTCTCCTGGGATCGCATTGTCCTTTGATCAGAAGAGTCGGGGGAAGCAGGCTGCCTGGAAGATCCTGACATGAGCTGGACATGGAGGGAAGAGCTTGGCCCCTCCAGCCTGAGAGGTGAGAGGGGCATCCGAGGCTAGAGCCCATGCCTTCCAGTGTGTCATTCTGCATGCACGCTTCCTGCTGCTGCACCTTGTCATTGTGCCTGCTGGAGGGGGAGGAGGAGGAGGGCCGCCTCGTCTGATCTCACCACCATGCTGCCCGGAGTCGGGGTGTTCGGCACCAGCCTCACCTCCAGGGTCATCATCCCTCTGCTGAAAGATGAGGGCTTCGCGGTGAAGGCTCTATGGGGTCGGACCCAGGAGGAAGCTGAAGAGCTGGCCAAGGAAATGAGTGTCCCCTTCTATACCAACCGCATCGACGACGTCTTGTTGCATCAAGATGTGGATCTGGTGTGCATCAACCTACCGCCTCCTCTCACCAAACAGATCGCTGTCAAAACCCTAGGTGAGTCCATTGTTAGGTCCACTTACCGCCATCAACAGGTCTGATTGTCCTGCCCTGCTGTCACTGGAGTATTACTGACAGGGAGGGGGGGGGCTTCCTAGACATGCTTCCTCCCAGGATCCCATCTGGGATCTCATCAGGGTTGTGAGATCTGAGCAGAGATCTGGGGATCTAATCATGGAAGTTGATGTCAAGTCAGGGACATGGGATCTGATTAGTGATCTGATCATGGATGCAGTATGTGATCAGGAATATGGTATCAAGTCGGGGATGCGGGATCTGATTAGTGATCTGATCATGGATGCGGTATGTGATCGGGAATATGGTATTAAGTCGGGATGCGGGATCTGATTAGTGATCTGATCATGGATGCGGTATGGGATCGGAATGTAGTATTAAGTCGGGGATGCGGGATCTGATCAGGGATGCGGTATGGGATCGGGAATGTAGTATTAAGTCGGGGATGCGGGATCTGATCAGGGATGCGGTATGTGACCAGAGATCCAGGATCTAATCATGGATGCAGTATGTGATTGGGAATGTAGTATTAAGTTGGGGATGCGGGATCTGATTAGTGATCTGATCAGGGATGCGGTATGTGACCAGAGATCCAGGATCTGATCACGGATGCGCTATGTGATCGGGAATGTGGTATCAAGTTAGGGATGCAGGATCTGATTAGTGATCTAATCAGGGATGCAGTATATGAGCAGAGAAACAAGATCTGATCATGGATGCGGTATGTGATTGGGAATGTTGTATCAAGTTAGGGATGCGGGATCTGATTAGTGATATGATCAGGGATGCGGTATGTGACCAGAGATCCAGGATCTGATCATGGATGCGGTATGTAAACAGGAATATGGTTTCTGATAAGAGATCTGGGAACTAATGGATGTGGTATATGATCTAAGATCCAGGATCTGATTATAGCTGTGGTATCTGATCAGAGATTCGGGAACTGATCGTGGAGGTGGTATATAATCAGGGATGTGGTGTCTGATCAGAGATCCAGGATCTGATCATGAATGTGGTATCTGATGGGGGATCAGATCAAGGATCTTAACAGAGATCCAATCATGGATTTGGTATGTGATCTGGGATGTGGTATCTGATCAGAGATTCAGGCTCTGATCAAGGATGTTGTATATGATCAGGGATTTAATAGCTGATCAGAGATCCAATCATGGATTTGGTATGTGATCTGGGATGTGCTATCTGATCAGAGCTCCAGGATCTGATCATGGATGTGGTATCTGGTCAGAAATCAGGGATCTGATAAAGGATGTGATATCTGATCAGAGATCCAGAATCTTATGAATGAATCTGATCAGAGATCTGGGATCTGATCAAGGATGTGGTATATGATCATGGATGTGGTGTCTGATCAGAGATCCAGGATCTGATTATAAATGTGGTGTCTGATCAGAGATCTGGGATCTAATCAAGGATGTGGTATATGATCATGGATGTGGAGTCTGATCAGAGATCCAGGATCTGATTATAAATGGGTGTCTGATCTAATCAAGGATGTGGTATATGATCATGGATGTGGTGTCTGATCAGAGATCCAGGATCTGAATATAAATGTGGTGTCTGATCAGAGATCTGGGATCTAATCAAGGATGTGGTATATGATCATGGATGTGGTGTCTGATCAGAGATCCAGGATCTGATTATAAATGTGGTGGCTGATCAGAGATCTGGGATCTAATCAAGGATGTGGTACATGATCATGGATGTGATAGCTTATCAGAGATCTGATCTTAGATTTAGTATCTGTTCAGAGATCTGGGATCTGATCCTTGATGTGCTTTGTGATTGGAGATGTGGTATCTGAGCAGAGATCTAGGATCTAATGAAGGATGTGCAGTGTGATCGAGGATGTAGGATCTGATCTGGGGTCAGATAAGGAATGCTGGCTTCCCTGCTCTCTACATATACCGTAGGTCTTTTGTGACCAGTTTACATGCTGACCTTGCCTTTCCCAACTTTCTCAATATGGAGAAACCCTTAAATAACTTTCAAGTCTCAGGGAACCCCTGATAATGATCACTATACAGGGGGACATTAGTGTGATGATCAGTGGGAAGAATGCTTCTTCTTCTGGTGGTCAGTAGGCAGAGTACCCTTGTTACATATAGGTACAAAGATCATTGGTAACAGAGCTCACTCCTCAGAAAGTCAGAAATTGGTCCTTACTTAAGGAACCCCTAGCAAGCTCTAAATGAACCCTGGTTGAGAAAGGGGATGCTAACCAGTCTGCAGTTATATACATATTAAAGTAGATTGAAACTAAAGCCGGCCATACATGGCTCGAATTCCGAAATAATTAAAAAAAAAAAATCTAAGAATTGTCGTTCAAATTTCACACCACTAGTGGGTCACAGAAACAGCCGATTTTCGTGTGACCATCGATTTTAAGTGATCAGACATGTTGGGAATTTTGTGAAAAACTAACGAATTTCAAATCAATGATGGAAAAATAGTGCAAGAAATATAAAGCTGTGACCTGGAAAGAAAAGAAAATTCTTGGCCACGAAAATGATTTTCTGTAGCAACATGAGGAGAAATTGAAGGCTTGGTTGAATTTCGAAATCAATTGTGGCACCATCGCATTACAAAACACGAAATTTCTGATTTTCTAAAGAAAATTTGTTCAGAATTTGACCCATGCCTGCATTAGTTATGTTAATGTCATTTCAAAAGCTGTGTTTATTTTTGTAAAAATATGTAGTATTTATAATACAGTTCCTGATGCTCTTGCCTTGAATGTTCTAGTTTAGGCACTTCCTGTTAGGGGTGGCAACTGTCTTCTAATTGTCCTATTGCGTTGTCACATGCACCCCTGGGGAAGTCTATCAGTGACAACTTGGTGTGATGGTCAGTGGGTTGAATGCTCTTCTTACAAAGATCATTAGTGTCAGTGATTACTTATCTGAGAGGCAGAAATTGCCTAAAATTGTCCAAAAAAGCTCAACTTTTGTACACACTATTCCC